CAATTCTGGTTAAAAGTTAAAACCGCAATATGTTTGGTCTGATTTTTTATTTCTATTTTTTTAGCAAAATCGGTTCTGGTTCTGCTCCGGTCGGGGTTGGACCGGTGCACACCCCTAAATAGAATCTTGGAGATGAGGGAACATGGCAAGAGAAATGGCAAGAGATAAGGCTTTTGGATTCAACCCATCTTTTCTGGGCCTTGAATATTAAGCCCAATCCATGTTTTTGTTCTTGTTTAGTGAAGTCATGTTTTTGGCATTGGGAGTGTTTGACAATTGGCTGTTGGCAGTTACCTGTTGCCTGATTTTGTTGGCTGATTGATGACAGCAGATTCGATTAGCTGTTTTGATTAGCAGATAAGATTACTAGTTTGTGCAATGATGTTTGGTTAATTGGTCGTTTACAATCGGCTGTTAACTTCTTAAATGACTTTTAAAGACATTAATTAATTTTTTAATAATATAATCAATACAACTATCTTAAACCGTTTTGATGATTTTTTTTAAAGGAAACAACTTATATTATAATCAAAAGAGCCATAACATCAATCAAGACCCCAAACCAACAACTCCCAGTAGAACCACAATACCAAAAGTCCATCGGTTCCCTCACGTCATGTCTAGGCATAAAATAGTCCACCCCAAAAAGAGCGAGACTAATCGCTGAGACAGTGAGAGCTAAGTGACTATTAGCGGCTGTGACAGCCTGATTGCCTCCATCAGTAGAAAACCTACTCATAAACCAACACCCCACGACTCCCACTCCCTTATTGTAAGTAAAGATAAAAAAGTAACAAACAAACGAGTTTTGAGAAATAAAAACAAAGCAGTAAAAATAAAATTCTAGGTGATGGAATTTGCAAGCTTCCATCCCTTGTGCAACTCCCGGCGCCTCTTCTAAGTGCCTGACAGGCGGGCATTGTAGCCCGCCCCCTCCCCGTTTTTTGGTGCGCCCATCTCCATGTCCATATCCTTTTGTGCAATCTCCTGTGTCCCGTGATCTACACGTCTGCGTTTCTGATCCACCTTAACTCCATTATGAGCATAGTCCGTGCCCTGCTGCTGTTTTCCATCTGCATCCGAGCTAACCATTCCAATTTCTCCCTCTTCTTCTTCTTTTCCTTTCCCATTACCAACTGGGACCAACCACTTGTTGCCTCCCACAGTTGTGTTGCCTTTTGAAGCTTTCAACTCGGATCCATAGAGGAAGCCTCCACTTTTGCCTTTACCGTCAGGGTATCGCGGGCAAAAATGTTTTGAATGCCCTATGACTTCACAGGCAAAACAGAAACTAGGTAGCTTTTCATACCCGAACTTAACACAAAAACTTTCCCCTTCATCAGATTGAAGAAAAAGTTTCCTCTTCAGAGGCCTGTTCAAGTCGATACTAACCCTTAGCCTCATATAGGGATTCCATTCAATAGAGAAATTCTGCTCATCCACCTTGACAAAACTCCCAACAAAATTCCCAATTTTAATGGCATTTTCCACAGTAAAGAAACCCATTGGCACATCATGAACCTGTAACCAGAAGTCAACCTTATTCAACGGTACCTTCAACGGCAGATCACCTTGCTTTAACAGGACAATAAGATTCTGATCGAAGGTCCACGACCCTTCCTCCAGAACACGGAACATATCATTTTCATTGTAAAATTGAAACATGTACCTTCGTGCACCTATCTCAGTAATAGTCACGCCTCTAACAGGCTTCTAAACATTGACCATAGTGTCACGAAAAACAGAGAAACGTACTGACTTTTCGAAAGTGATTGTTCCAACCAAGATCATCCCTACCTCAAGCCGCGGAGCTTTAGCCACCACATGTAGGACTTCATCTTCCTCCTCCATCTCCAATCTGTCATACGCTTTTGCCAGCCTGTTTATCTCCTCCATTTCATTTTGACATCTACCATTTTAACCGCCTTTCTTTCACTGTAACCGTGAGTGATATTAACACGTGATATTATTTTAAACATGGCTGTCTCATGATTATCAACACGCTTATCAATACAATCTTGAACAGAAAGGATCGAAGCTTCTGGTTTCAAGGCCATCATGATTTATTTATTCTCAATTTTTTATTTTCATTAGTGCACTTCAAGGGATGAGATTGTTGTGGAAAGAGATAGCACCGATGTCTAACTTTGAAGGAGTAGAAACTGTCGAAGAGGGCCGCTTGTTCCAGCTTGGCTTTTCTCTACGGCAGAAATTATGTTAAATGTCCCGCACCCAAAACATTTGGATGAACAAAGTGCTATATTAACACATGAGCTACTCCTCCTAACCTTTTAGGATGGAACCCCAGGTCTTAACATGGTATCAGAGCCAAATCGATCCATGTTGTGGGGTTCCTTATGAAAAATGATGACACGATTATAAAAATGGCCATATAAAAAAACAGACCGATGAAAAAAAGAATAATTGCACGATCCAGACGAAGTGCCTGGTCGTGAGGAGGGGTGTTAAATGTCCCACACCGGAAACATTTGGATGAACAAAGTGCTATATTAACACATGAGCTGCTCCTCCTATCAAGTTGACCTTTTAGGATGGAACCCCAGGTCTTAACAGTATTGGTTGGAGGAATTTGTTTTTCTCAGGCGAAAGGTTTTCTGCCAGTAGGGGGTAGATACGCTAAAAGAGGTGGGTAACATCGGAAAGTTGTTGAACAACCGGGTATAAACGCTACAAAGGTTGACGTTTTCATATTTTGGCTGTTAGGACAAAAAGCCAATTGAAAAAGCTAGTTAACCAAACAGTATTATTAGCCGATTGATCCGGTCAAAAAGCCAAATTTAGTCAAATCAGACAAGAAATGGCTGATAGGCTTTAAACCAAACACCCCATTATCTTGCAGTTGACCGTAGAGAAAGACTTTCTTTTTTGTAACTTGCCCTTTTCTTGTATCATAACACGAATATCTATGAAATCGTATCAACTTTAAGTGTGTTTTAGACCTAACCAAGTTTACATGCTTATAAGATAAGAGAAATAATTGACACTTTTATGTTACAATATTTAATTAATTCATCATGTATGTACAAGAGTTTAAATTCAATACCTGAATTATATGCAATAATGTAGTATGTTATGAAATTATGATACAAAAATTTCATATGCATATGATAAGAACATGTTAAAATCTTCATGGTGATTTTTTATTTTATTTTATTATTCTTTCACTATACACAACTCCAAGTTGTAACAATAATGTACTCCCATGTCCCAAATAATTTTGGATAAATGGTTTATAAGGTTGGTATTGTTGGTTGAACATAAAGTCAATGATTCTCAAACAATTTCCAAAAAGTTCAAGTCAAATAAATGAATAAACTAAAACATATAAAATCTTAGTTTTAGATTTGTGTAGGAGGGTCTAGCACAGTAGCACTAACAGTTTTTGATGCGGCATACGTAGTATATTTGACACTTTTTGTTGACTTCAATTTTAACGAGTTTAATTGAAACGTAAAACAACAAAATGTAGAAGAGAGAAACAAATTTGAACATATATTTATTACTTTAAATATATATTTTTTAGAATGGCCCACTAAGAAAAAGGTGACAAAGTGTGACGGATGAAATATGATTAATTACGGAGTACTTATTTTTTCATCATTTCTAAATATAATCGTATCAACAGTAATGATATCAAACTATACATATTCAACATTAGCAATTGCTTTTATTGGATAAAAGCAATTACTACTTCGTCCTACTAACATTAGGAGGTGACGCAATTATTAAGAAAAACAAAATTTATGTTGTTTATATTGAATTAATAAAATAAGAATAAAATAAAATTATTTAGAACCACAAAAAATTTACCAAATTTGTTATGAGACAATTTTAGTAAGATAGAGCGAAAAAGGAAATATGGACAATCTTAACGGAACAAAATACTCTCTTTGCCTTTGAATACTTTGTCATATTTTCTTTTTTACTCCGTATTTGTTAAAAAGAATTATCATTTTTATTCAAAATAATAAACATGTGATCGAAATAATTTCTTTTTTCATATACATAAATCTCAATCACACATTTTTTATTATTCTATATGTAAGTCAATCTTAGTCAATTTTGCGATGAAAGGAGTATCAACTACTATCAATAAGAAGTTGTTACCGTTTAGTAGGAGAGTCTGAAATGTTTATTTAAAAAAGGATGACACCACATCCATGAAGTGCTCTCTGTCTTGATCAGACAGTTAATCTTTGATCTCGAGATCTCTCTTTTGTTTAAAGTTGAACTCGAAATCTCTCTATTGTGGCACCCCTTCCTCCCAGGTGAGCTACGACCCCGAAACCCGCAGCGGCCATGTGGAGGTTACATCTCCTCCATGCTGGGCTGAACCTCTGATACGCACGGGTACACGACATACCTTCATTGGGTCGACTGAATCACCGTGATTTACTCCTTCACCATCCTGTCGGGTAGGAGTGTGCCGGGGCTCTTGGGGTTAGAGATTACACCTTTTGTGCATATTGAGCTACGACCCCAATTATAAAATGTGTATTTATGTGTGTGGTATACTTACCTGGACGGGGTCGATGGGCGATCAACAAGGCCCATGGCCTAGGTTGATGACTTCCATTGCACTTTGGAAGGGTGTCATCCTAAGGTCTACCCAAGTGGTGGAGCCTACGTCATAATTTGTATTTATGTGTGTGGTGAGGGTGGGGTGGACAATAATGGCCCTCTCTGTCTATATCTAAAAAAAAAATTATCCAAATGAGTGCAAGGTGTTCCAGTTAGCTAGCATGTGGCCTAAAATGTACCCTCTATTTCACGTGACGCCGGCCACTCTTCCATTTATTACGCCCCGATTATTAAATTGCTGCCTATTGTACAAACCAGCAACACTTTTACGCATTTGCCCTTCAACAAAATCCCAATCATCATTCAATCCCGCCGTGGCCCAGACAAAATAGTCTTTACATCCCTGATATTTTCTTTTAACTTGTACGTCGCTTTAGCGCCAGAAACGGTTGATGAACTGTGGACTGAAGTTATTGGTGATTGAAGATGGGGTCTTCCATGGCTGCTGCTGGTAAAAACCACGACCGCAGTTCAATCGAGGTTTTTCAACGAGATAAATCAGTAGTAGTTGAAGAAGAAGAAGAAGCTTCTATTGGCGGAAATGGAGATTTGCGGAGCAAGGAGGGGATGTTCAGTAAACGGAAGGTAGATTTTGGTGAATCCGCCGGCACTAGCAAATGTCAGACTCGTCTAGGATCTTCTAGATTTGCACAAAGGAACGCGGAATTGGGAGTATTGTCAACTGATGATGAGTTTCGGATGAGTGATGCGGGAGAAGGCAGCTGGTTCAAGCCTATCACCCATTGGAGAGGTTCATTTCGCGGAAGGAGAAGTAGCCGCAACTCGCGTGAGAGGAAATCTTCAGTAGCTTACTCGGAGTCATCTGTACGGACATCAGAGTCGTCGAAATACGGAAGTATGCCTCAATCGCCTTCTTACTTGCCGTATAATGAGGAAGTGAAGGATGTTCTGGCGACGCTTAAACAGACATTTGTGGTGTCTGATGCAACTAAGCCCGATTGTCCCATTGTCTATTCTAGCGATGGCTTCTTTACCATGACCGGTTATTCTTCAAATGAGGTTATTGGAAATAATTGGTAAGGGTGATTTATTTATTACAGTTTATGTAATTTAATGACTGACTGACTGTTACATACATCCATGTACAATTTTCTCTTCAAAAATTGAAGAGAAAGATGTGTTTATAGTTCATAATCCGCATTATGACTCGGTAGGGTGGGTGTTTCAATAAAATACTTGAGTTGCTTGATGTGGTGCAGTCGCTTTCTACAAGGCGCTGATACCGACCAGAAGGAAGTTGATAAAATACGGGTGGCAGTAAAAACAGGGAAGAGCTACTGCGGGAGGCTGTTGAACTACAAGAAGGACGGGACTCCTTTTTGGAATTTGCTAACAATCACTCCCATTAAAGACGACAATGGAAACTTAATCAAATTTATTGGGTAAGATGTCTTCCTGTACTGAGGAGCGACCATTGACTCCTTGAGAAAGATTTCGTGGCCTTTTGGTAGATTACTTGTTATGCACACTCTAGCCAAATTTTTAAACCTATGCTTGACACTTTTACCTATTTTTTCATATTATATTCTACTTTTGTCTAAAAAGAATCATGTTTGATCAAGTTTTTACTTTTGTGTTCTGATCATGTACAACTCCTGTTCTGACTTCTGACATGCCTGTGAAAACGTAAATAGGTTCACACAAAATTTGATTCTTTTGATGAAATGTGATGCTTGTTTTTTTTATAAACTGGGGGTCTTCTTTGGGGCGTAGGAAGTATAGTACAAGTATTATTTTTGTATCTGTGTATCGATCCAATTCACCGATTTCAGCCACTTCAACCAAAATTTACCCTATTAAAGTAAACTAGTCACAGCATTGTCGTGTTGGTGTCGTTGCTGAGTGAAATGCATTTTTTTTTTGACAGAATGCAGGTTGAAGTAACCAAATACACTGAAGGAGTTGTTGACAAGGCATTGCGACCTAATGGATTGCCTCAGTCATTGATTCGCTATGATGGTCAGCTGAAGTGTTTATGGAAATCATATTCCAACATTTTTTAAAACTGACATTCTGAATGTTCATTTCAGATCGCCAGAAGATAAATGCATTAGGTTCGCTAACAGAAGTCGTACAGACGGTAAAGAATCGACTACCACAGGCACAACCAATGAGTAAAGATTCCATGAAAATGGATTTTATGGTTCCTACAATGGCTGAAACTGAACTAATGAGTAAATATAGTTCACTAACCCTTCAGCGGGACCCCAAGGGCAGTTTATCTCTACAGGACTCTGCAAAAAGATCTAGAGAAACGAGACACATCTCTTTAATGGGGTGAGTGAGTAAGTCGCTATTTCTATTACCTGCTAGGCTAGAGGTAGATATGCTAAAAAGAAGAAGAGTTGTTTTATTCAGTGATCTCAAATTCCAAAGAGTAATTTCAAGTAGAGAATTCAGCTTTTCTTGATTGGAACTTTGTTTTTTCTCTGCAGGTTAGAAAGATGGTCTTCCAGCAGTGTAGGACAGAATGAAAGCAGAAAATTTGCGGAGCCTGAAATTTTGATGGCAGGTGAGACTGAACGATCTGACAGTTGGGAACATGCTGAAAGAGAAAGGGATATACGCCAAGGAATTGACCTTGCAACCTCACTGGAGCGTATTGAAAAGAATTTCGTGATTTCAGATCCTAGGCTTCCTGATAATCCAGTTGTAAGGCTAACTTGCAATTTAGTTTTACCATCTTCTGTGTTGTCTTTATGGGACAGTTGCCGAAACTTTTATGATTATAATGGCAATGCAAAAGCGAATAACGAATGATGTAGATTACAGTTTCATAGGTTGAAAACTTGCAAGTAACATGCAGATGTGTGTGTGTGTGCGCGCTCATCAAATTGAAGATTAGAAATGTGATTCTGTGCTTGCAGATATTTGCTTCGGATAGTTTTCTTGAACTGACAGAGTATAGACGTGAAGAAATCCTGGGAAGAAACTGCCGGTAGTAATAAAATACCGCATACTCCTTAATATCCAAGTTTAAATTTGTTACATGCATAGCAGGAATTGCAAATGTCAACAGCTTCAGAATTTTGAGTTCATTTCATATTATGTTTTTCTAATTAGTACTTCCCCGTAACAATGGTGTCTAATAGCTAGAGAGCTACAGGTTTCTTCAGGGGCCTGAAACCGATCAAGCAACTGTTCAGAAAATAAGAGATGCCATCAAAGAAGAAAGAGAAATCACAGTCCAGTTGATTAATTATACCAAGAGTGGTAAGCTACGACAGTTACTTGGATACAAATTTTATTGCAGCAGAAGTGTTCAAAATCTCCATTCAGCCCTACAATCTTTTATCAAAATCAAATTTGCTCCCCTTACATAATTTTCAGGGAAAAGGTTCTGGAATATGTTTCACTTGCAACCTATGCATGATCAGAAGGTAACTCTATGGTGTAGCTTTTCTGTAGTTTCTATAGCTACATTGATAATGTTGTCTATGTTTTGTTACTAAACTGAATCTCTCATTTACAGGGGAACCTGCAATACTTCATCGGTGTTCAGTTAGATGGAAGTGATCATGTAGCACCACTTAGGGATCGCCTCTCAGATCAATCACAACAAAAAAGTGCTATCTTGGTACGTGTTCCATTCTTACCCCTGAAGATACATTGATATATTCAGTAAAGATAGCAATTCTTCTGTTGTTTCGGCTTTGAGGAGGGAAAATTGTTTTAGTCACTGTAAGGTAATATTTTTCCCAGGTTAAAGCTACTGCAGAAGATGTTGATGAAGCTGTGAGAGAGCTTCCTGATGCCAACTTGGTAAGGTATTCCTTTCACACTGGATTAAATTTTTGGTCTATGCTTTAGATGCTGTCTAATTCATTAGTCACTGATGCTGACTATTTAATGTGTGAAATTCCAAGTTCAGAGACCTGAGGACTTATGGGCCCTGCACTCTCAACCTGTCTTTCCTAGGCCTCATAGAAAGAACACTACTTCATGGACAACGATGCAAAAGGTAATGATCACCTCAAGTCCATAATACAGTTAGTAAGTTTTCTCATTTACTGCTTGCTTACACATGCATGTGCAACCTCCACCTTTCTGGCTTTCTTTGTGAACTTTATTTATTTCTCGGTAGAAAGGTATGCTAATATTGCACTTACTGATAGTGAAATTTTGATAATCTTATTTCTTTCAACTAAGAGCTTTTCTTTTTTCGCCCCCCCCCCCCCCCCCCCCCCCCACTCAAGCTCCTACAATTTTTCTTCTGAAAAATGGTCTAATTCCCTCATTCATGACTTTTTAACATTGGTACACCTTTTGTGCCAATTAAACTATACTTCTATCTTAAGTCTCTGAATCCCTCTAGAGGCATCGAAGTCTTGACATGGTTGAGAATTTTGAATATTGTAGTTTGATCCTCTTAAGCTGTAAGAAGTGGCAAATTGTCGATTGCTATATATTTTAACACGTTATTAACTTTCATCAGTCATCCTCAAATTGTCTACATTGCAGATCACTGCCAATGGTCAAACAATTGGCCTTAATAATTTCAAACCTGTGAGGCCATTGGGATGTGGAGATACTGGGAGGTAATGTGATTACTAGGTAGAAATACTTTCTTAAAAAGTAAATTGCAATATGCTATAGGATTAACAATTACACAGAGCTTGAAGATTATATCTTAATTTCCATCTTGTCGGAACTGTTATTCATCCAATTGGATAACTGAACAAACTGCATATAGGCAGCTGATCCAGTATATGTAAAGTTCCCTTTCTCTCTCTGCAGTGTGTATTTGGTGGAGCTAAAAGGCACAGGCGAACTCTATGCTATGAAGACTATGGATAAATCTGTAATGCTCAACCGCAACAAGGTCTGATTAAATATTGAAGAGTTGTGGCTGTATTCTTCAAATAAGTTTTTCAAAATCATTTTCACTTCATAACTAAGATAACAAACTTTCTTTTGATGAAAATGTTTGTTTCTTCCTCTATAGTTGTTTCCCTTCCATTGTACCCACTTCCCGAATTCTCAATCATTTTTGCCTGCAGCGCCATAAACCATGTATGTACGTGGATTACAGGTTCACCGAGCATGCATTGAAAGAGAAATCATCTCACTCCTTGACCATCCTTTCCTTCCAACATTGTACTGTTCTTTTCAGGTTTTCATTCATTCATACCTCTGAAATTTCGTCTTAACTATATTTATTGTTTTGCTTAATATATCCAAAATGTTCTCTTAGCATGATCTTACCTAAATTAATTGCTCACATTGAAGTTCTCAAATATCATATTGACATCTTTGTCTCGATCAGACATCTACACATATATGCTTGATAACTGACTATTGTCCTGGTGGAGAGCTATTTGGATTGCTTGAGAAACAGCCTATGAAAATGTTTAAAGAGGATTCAGCAAGGTATGTCGCCTAACTTCTGAAAGCATATTGTTTGTCTAATTCTTTTTCTATTGTGGCTATTCTATTCTTTTGGTAATCTTTGATAAGCTGCACGAAACATAAAACACCTCAGTAATCCACATCCACATTTTTGTAAATGCGTAGCTAATGTACAAGTTGAAACTGCACCCTAAAGCTCATAAGGATCAGTTATCAATTTATCGTGATCAATATTATGTCTTCAAGGAAATGAGACCAAATACATTTATTTTATTAAAAAACTTGTTGTTTTCTCGGGTGAGCTGCAAATGATAATTTTGTATCCAGGTTCTATGCTGCAGAGGTTGTAATTGGTTTGGAATACCTTCACTATTTAGGTACGCTTGCTAAATCTCAAGAAATAAATTAAATCTGTTCATCCAAAAAAAGAAAGGAATAATTAAAATACCAGGTTGTTTTTTTAGGGGAAGGGTATCTGTTTTCTGCCACATGTAGCAGTTATGGGTTTCACTGAATGAGTACCAACTCAATTATCTTCCTATCATAGACTCCATACTGATTATTAAGTGATAATATCAATGCTGTATTGGTCTTTCAATGCAGGAATCGTGTACAGGGATTTAAAACCAGAAAACATCCTACTTCAGGCTGATGGGCATATTGTACTAACTGACTTTGATTTATCCTTCAAGACCACTTGTAAACCCGAAGTACACAATTTCATTTATATATAATATATCTTTCAGCTGCATTACTTCTTTTTATGGGCTATTGTATGCAACACTGGTGGTCTACCTTGTTTTCTATATATGTAGTATTTCATAGCACAGTAGTAAAGTAAAATTCACGAAGTAGTATTTTTCTTGACTTCATACATCACTGAATTTAAAATAATTCCCAGGTGATAGAGCGCTCTCATAGCAGAATTAGAGGCCCATTTAGGAGCACTCCCGTACCAACATTTGTTGCAGAACCAACTTCTCAGTCAAATTCATTTGTCGGAACTGAAGAGTACATTGCTCCCGTACAGCAACTTCTTTTTCCTTTTGAATACAATGGCAGTTCATATTCAAGAAATTAATATCTTCCGGGACATAAAAGTTCACTCTAAATAATTATATGTCATTTAATACTTTCAGGAAATTATAACAGGCGGTGGACACAGCAGTGCTATTGATTGGTGGGCTCTTGGTAACATTTATATACACTGAAGATCTGAACTATTAGGATGTTAACTTATTCACCATTTCTCTAGATTTAGTCCAAAATATTTTATTTTCCAGGTATTTTGCTCTATGAAATGCTTTTTGGACGCACACCATTCAGAGGAAAGAATAGACAAAAGACATTCGCCAACATCTTAAACAAAGATCCCACTTTCCCAAGTAGAATTCAGGTTAAAACCATACCTTAAATTCTTTCCTCACGTACTCTTCTTGGGGGGTTGAACCCCTTCATTGGGTGATTGCCTGATTGGGCGACATGTTCTGCTACCACATGAGGTGCAATGTGCATGCCCACCAATTCACCATCAAATGTGTTGCAGAAGTAACTTTTTGAGTTGTTTTTAAGGTCATGTGGTTTTCCATTGTCGGAAAACATTAACTGCATTGGAAGACATAAAGTTTTCATCTTCAAAATTGGGCTCCCGGCTAAACCATACACAAGAAAATCAAATGAAAAAAGGAATTATGTTGTGAGTTCTGAGAATTTTGGATAGGGACAGCCTAGGGATGTCAAAAAAACCCGACCCGCAGTGACCCGCCTTGGCCCGAGACATTTGGGGTGGGTCCGGCCCGCCCCGTCTTCCAAATGGGGCGGGTCCGCCCCGCCCCGCCTAGACAATGGGGCGGGTCCGCCCCGCCCCGCCTAGACAATGGGGCGGGTCCGGGTATTAGTAATGACCCGTGCCGCCCCGCCCCGCCCCGACCTGCTCAATACGTAAGCATACATACTTTTTCTTAAATTATACTACAAATATACTTCAACATACATATGTGTGTTTACAGTAAATCATAAATTCTTTGATCTTATAATATATTAATACATATATTAGAATGAGATGAACGACGGATTATTAATGTCTTCTTTATATATAGCATTTTAATACATATGTTCAATTATTAGTATAATTAAATAGATTAACTATTCAATTTTGAGTAATTTTTTTTTAATTTTTGAAATTTTTAGGGTATCATGAATTTGATTTAATATATTAATTTTTAATTATTATTTAGAGATAAACTTTATGTAGATTCAATTGGTAACAACTTCACACAAATAAAAATACATACTAGCTAATTAGGTTACGACGGGGCGGGGCGGACCCACCCCGCATGGGGCGGGTCATGGGTCAACAAGTTTGGACCCGTGCAGGTCACGGGGCGGACCGGCCCCGCCCCGCCAAGTCACGGGGCGGGTCTGGGTCTTGCAGTACCCGCCCCGCCCCGACCCATTGCCATGCCTAGACAGCAGTAGTATAGGAACATGTCTTCTTTAGTTTTTCTTTTCCCTGTACTCCGAGAATTTTGGATAGGGACAGCACCAGTATAGCCAGGGGCGGATTTAGGGGAGGGTGGGGGCGACATCTCCTTGCACTTTCAAAATTTTCAACTATATACATATAATGTTTTTATGAATTATCATACTTTAATTGGATATATACATGTTTGCCTCTCTTAACTTTTAGTTTTCAAAATTAATTTATAGCTTGATGTAATGTGATACAGAGTAATTAATAGGAGATGTAAATGGAGAAAAATCTAAAATAATTTATCTTTACTTGACAAATAAACAATATAACAACTCATTGATTTAAGACTTAAGTCTATAAAATATCAAGCAATATTAAATACCAGACACACCAGTTAAACTGGTTTTAGATAATGTGAAGTGAACCTCAAATATAAATTTGTGTTTGACATTAAAATTACACAATTCATTTAGTTCATATTTTTTAAAAAGAATTTGTTGCACAAGTACAAACTTTTAATTAGTCTAGCATTAATACAAATATAATATTGTATGCACCATCTATATGAATTAGCAAAATAAAATCATTAAAAATAAAAAAACTCAAAAACATACTATTGTACTATTAAAGCACTCCTTGTGGCTTACAAACACTCATGGTAGATAAAAAGAGTAACTCAAAAAATAATTCTTTATTCTGATAAGATTGATACAGTTAAACAAGACATAAGTCATTTAAAAAGTATTGATCACATAGACTCTTTATCATCGCATAATTTGATAAAACGTTAACCAATTAATATCAAGTATTTTTCTTTTAATTTGATTTGTCAATTTTTAGACTTTAATGTACTAATACTATTTTCCAGAACACTTCAATTATAAAATTAAAGTTATTTTTTTCATTGTGTAAACTTAGAGTGTAGACTGTGTAGTAGATTTAAATGTCATGTATCTGCTAAAGATTTTTTTGAATAAAATGTATGCAAAGTTTTCGCTGGCGAAATAAAAACCACACCGCTTGACCTAAATTCATGGACCCGTCCCTACTAGTAGCTGATGATTTTTTAACTAGTTGATATTTCAGTTGAGCCTGCCAGCAAGGCAGTTAATTCAAGCACTGTTAAATAAAGATCCTGCCCGCCGCCTGGGATCAAATGGCGGTGCAAACGAGATCAAAGAGCATCCATTCTTTAGGGGAATAAACTGGCCTCTGCTCCGATGGATGGTATTAACACTTCCATACCTTGTCGAAAATTCGAAATATGTAGCACAAAGATTAAGAGTCTAATTGGAATGCTCTTTATGATCTACTGCAGAGTCCACCTCTACTGGAATCACCTCTTCAGTTAATGGGAGAAGAAACAAACTCCAATGAAGTAGACTGTGATGATGAGAGTGCGTTTGTCCATTCAATGGACTTCTTCTAGCGGTCTGTAGTTCTCTACTCATGTTTATTAACATCTCATCTGCAACTTCCATAAACAATGTGGCTGATTTTGCATACCCCACCCTCCAAATCCTTCAATCCAGCAGAACAGGACTGGAGATGTATGGACTCAATTTCCTGTTAAGTCATTGGTATTGATTTGCATACTCTACTCTTCTTATCAATCAATCCCAACTGTTGGTCATGTTCCATGATCTGCATGTTGGTGTTTGCTATATTGGACATGAGTACATGATCATAACACATATTTCAACTCACCTTGTTTTGTTTCATGACATTTCCCATTCATGTTAAAATAACCTATGATGGTGACAGTTTTGGAGTTTGCATCTCATTGTTCTTTTCATGAAGGTTCAGGAGGAAGGGCATGCAGCACATAATATTGCCATTGTTTGCATAAACTTATAGTGTTAATTAGTTTTATTAATTAATGGGCACTATACATTTAATGCAACTGGTCCCAACTAGTTGGGATTAGGGTGATGATGATGATGATCCAACAATGCATTCCAGGAAAGCCAGTCATAGACTTTGTTGTATGTATGAGCTATGTACGGAACGAAGGGGAAAGTCATTAGAAGAAGCAGAGCCATTTACATTTGTAGAGAACATCTTGTGGAAATGGTAATTTGTACTCCCATATCAGTTTGGACTTTGGAGAACTTGAGGGAAAGATGTAAATTGTAAAATAGCCGCTAGCCAGCAATAGAACATTAAAACACTAATAATTGATATGTTTCGGGGAAGAGGCTGATCACCAATTCATCCTCAAGCAATGCCCTAGTCTTGATGTTTTTACTTGTTTCAGTTTCAAGCCACACTTATGTAATTGATCGATTCTGCTTCTCTTAAAAAAACAAAAGTGGAATCAGATTCTCAGGAGTGGTCTCCTCCAACTTCGGAATCACATAGAAGTATTTCCATTCTGACGGACATATCTGCTTTTGCTCCTTAAATGAGTAGAAGTGGTTTTATGAAGCAGATCCATTTCATTTTCATTTACCACAGTGATGAAGCAGATCCAAACACTCCTTAAATAGGCTAGACTAGACCACACTTAGAAACTACTCCGTAGTAAAATAACAACAAACACATATATACACATTAAATCGATCATATCAAACTTAGATAGATTAAATTAGATCATCAAACCACGTCAATAAAGTATGATCCAAGTATGTCTCAATTCAAGACCTACCATAATTCTGACTTAAAAAACTTAGGAGTCATTTAATAGACGAGACTTAGATAATACGAGTAATAAACTAAACTAAACGGATCCAAGCACATTGAAATAGACCCCACAAGTAAAAACTCCAAGTAGGTTTCAAATGAAAGTTGACAGGTCTCACATAACGTTATTGAATTTGAGGTGATGTGACTTTTTGCATGACTCCAACCTTATATATTATCTAGGGAAAAGTGTCAAATATGCCCCTCTACTAATACGAAAAAGTCAATTAAGCCCCTGAATTTAAAAAACATCCAATTAAGCCCACAAGCTAAATATAACGAGACAAAACAGTCCTTTTAGCAGGATATTAACCGTTCCCAGTTAAGTTGCATGTGTGGCAAATGATGTGACATGCTTTTACATTTTCTTTTTCTCTTTTTATCTTACTTTCCTTTTTTCTTTATCTCCTTTTAACCGCTTAATTACCTGCTAAAAGGACTGTTTTACCTCGTTTTTTATAATTCGTGAGCTTAATTGAGTGTTTTTTGAGTTCAGGGGCTTAGTTGACTTTTCTGTATTAGTAGGGGGCTTATTTGACAGTTTTACCTATTACTCCGTATCTATCTACCATTCCTTCACGATCGCCTTGAAAGACTAAGAGTCAACATCCGACCCAATTTCCACAAGAATGACCTTTGTGTTGTTTCATGGAAAAAGTGACATGCATATGTATGCACTTAGGCTTCACGAAAAGAGTCGGAGATTGAAAAGGTAGGTAAGGTCGGGGCTGATAGGTTGCCGTCATGCCCTCGATTTTGATGGGCCACCGGCGGGCGAATCAGCGCATGCACGTACGTAGGGAGGGTTGACATTTCGGTTCACAACACCACATCATATAGAGACCCAACATCTCTTTTTGCATAGGTGTAAATCACTAAATCATGTAACACGGAGTACTTAATCTTAAATGAAAGTATTTGATTTGAATTTGTCTAGTGTGGTAAATGTTTGGTCGTTGTATATTTTTTAACTGTGAAAGCCTAGCTAGTCTGTCTGCTATGGTATGAACTGCTCTAATCTAGTTTGGTTTGAGAATGAAATTAGTCTAAACAAAAACATCTTTAAACCTCTATTGTTGGGTGTGTTTCGGAAAATAAAGAAAATTAATTAAATAAAATGACAAAAGAAAACAGAAATGAGATGGAGCAGAAATTTGTCAAAGCTCGTGCTACGCACGATGTCCTTAAAACGTATTTGTTGCCTCCCACGGTGCTAGGAGCGTTGCAACAATAGTTTCCCAGGATACGATGACAACGAACTAATGTTTGAGCACACAAACAAGAGTTCCAACGAACGAGAACAAAGACTGAACACAGAAGGAATTTTCAGAGTGCTAGCAGTGTGTTTTTAGAGCTAAAACGTGTATGGAGTGCAAGAATGCGTGTAAGAACGTGTGTTGTTGCAAACCACCTGCCAGCCTTTATATAGGAGGATTTGTTGTATGAAAATAGTGAATTAATGGACCTGAACGTTGGACATCAATGACCAGTCCGTTGGGCATTGAATCGTCCATGAACTGTCCATTTAACGCTGCATTAAAAGATATAAACGTTGGGCATTTATTGCTGTAACGGTTCAGAAACCATCAGAAGACCCCTGCGTAGTTCTGCCCGAAGGTCATCAGAACTGGAGCAGTTCTGATGCGCGGTCATCAGAACCGGAGCACCTCTGGTCGTGGCCTTCTGCCCGGAGCAATTCTGCTAACTGGGAAAAATATATGTTTCGGGAAGAAAACAAAAATTACCCGTATCTCTTGAGAGATGGATTTTTGGACGACATTCGTGTCCGCAGGTCGCCCGCGCACGCAAGTCGCGGTTTTTCTTCTCCGAATTCGGGATTTGATTTGCACCCCCCCCCCCCCCCCTGCGCGCGTGGAGAGAGCCTCTACCCTAAGGAATCTTAACTCCTTAAGGGGGGAGTCCCTTTATAAAGGGTTGCAAATCCCTTGGGTTTTCCGGTGTGGGAAATTAACACTAGAAACCCATCCTTTTTCCCAGTTTTTCCATTCTAACGGGTAAACTTCGAAAAGCGATTTCTCATTCACCCGTTATCCGTTTTGAGCGTACCATATATCGAATTGTAGCCCTTAACAAGGACAATCCGAAACCACTTTGACCCGACCCAAATCGGAAGTGGACCCCACTCAAAAAATTGCCCCAAAATAGCCATTTAATGCAATTTTTCACACATTTTTCCAACAATCCCCCACATGAATGAAAATTGATTTTCGAGACTTAAAAAGACACGAAGATAGGAGGACACGTTGTGTTCACCGGATGATCCTTGTATACGGAGAGGTAGGTTTAATCCTTTGAACCTTCCGCCGTAAAGACACGTTTATTTACTGGCTGTCTAGTAGACTCGATGTCTTTGAACTATACCGCCGTCGTGTAAACATTGACTTATCTTTACACAAGAACCTTCCAACTTTGTTCCGTTCTCATGGGTGTGCCCGTTTTGGCCATGGGTCACCGTCCTGGTTCTGCAAGAGTTTCTAAAGAACTGAGCCTTTACAGTTCTCCTTTGAAGCGGCCCTCTTCTCTCTCACATAGGTGATTCTTTCACGAGTATCCCGCATACTCTTCCAATGTTATCGAGTAGATCAACATTTTAGAATCATTAAAGCAAACGTTTTTGCTAACCTCGTGCGGGAGTCACTGTTTCAACGAGGAGTGGGTAGGAGTCCGGGACCCCCACAGTGACCATCCTTCGCTCTATAATTTAGTTGTCCCATTTGAACCTAGGACCAACTAGGTTGGGTATCCACTATAGAACTTTTCAATTCACGGGCTTTAATCCCATTCCTCGTGTCAACTTCTCCAACAATTCTCTATCCAATGCCTTGGTTAGCGGATCCGCTATGTTATCCTTTGACTTCACGTAGTCAACAGTGATAACACCCGTTGTGAGAAGTTGTTTAATGGTATTATGTCTACGACGGACGTGTCTAGACTTACCATTATAGAGATTGCTCTGTGCCCTTCCAATTGCCGCTTGACAATCGCAATGTATGCATATTGGAGGGACAGGCTTCTCCCAACTTGGAATATCCTCGAGAAAATGGCGTAGCCATTCAGCCTCTTCAGTGCACTTATCCAAGGCTATTAGCTCAGATTCCATCGTGGATCTAGCTATTAACGTTTGTTTCGAGGATTTCCACGACACGGCTGCACCTCCCAAAGTGAAAACGTATCCACTTGTGGACTTTGAGTCCTTAATGTCAGATATCCAACTAGCGTCGCTATACCCTTCAAGTACAGCTGGATATCTTCCATAGTGCAGTCCAAGATTTTGGGTTTTTCGTAAATACCTCAAAACTCTTACTATTGCCTTCCAGTGTTCATCACCGGGGTTGCTAGTATATCTACTAAGCTTACTAACCACAAAGGCGATATCAGGCCTGGTACAACTCATTAGATACATTAAACTGCCAATAATCCTAGCGTATTCTACTTGAGAAATACACTCTCCACGATTTTTGGTCAGATGTACGTTTTTATCTAATGGCGTCCTTGCCTCTTGATAATCATCCTTATTAAATTTATTAAGGATTTTATCAACGTAATGAGATTGGCTTAGCGTCAGACCGTCAGGTCCTCTAATTATTTTAATCCCAAGGATTAAATCGGCCAACCCCATATCCTTCATGTCAAATTTAGAATTTAACATGCTTTTGGTAGAATTAATCATTAGATTATTGCTACCCACGATGAGTATATCATCCACGTATAAACATAAAATGACATAACCGTCTACCGTGCTCTTCACATAGACGCATTTGTCACTTTCGTTTATTTTAAATCCATTAATTAACATTGCATGATCGAACTTTTCGTGCCACTGTTTAGGGGCTTGTTTCAATCCGTACAATGATTTAATTAATTTACAAACCTTCTTTTCTTGGCCAGGAACACGAAAACCCTCAGGTTGTTCCATATAGATTTCTTCGTCTATATCGCCGTTTAGAAAAGCGGTTTTTACGTCCATTTGATGAACTTCCAAATTCCGCAAAGCGGCAATTGCTAGTATCATCCTAATGGAATTTATTCTCGTCACCGGAGAATACGTGTCAAAGTAATCATGGCCTTCGCGTTGCTTGTATCCCTTGATTACAAGTCTGGCCTTATACTTATCAATGGAACCGTCCGGTTTCATTTTACGTTTAAAAATCCACTTGGATCCCAAAGGTTTACATCCCGGAGGGAGATCAACCAATTCCCATGTGTGATTTTTAAGGATAGAATCCACCTCACTTTTGATGGCTTCTTTCCACATAGGTCCTTCGGTAGACGTTACGGCTTCCGTATAAGTCCGTGGCTCATTTTCTACCAAACATGTTAGAAAATCCGGTTCATTTTCTACCATACAAGTTAGAATATTCGAATCGAATTCTACCAAGTATGTGAGAAAATCCGGTCCGAAGGATTTTTCAACTCTAGCACGTTTGCTACGTCGAGGTTCGGCTTCTTCACCGGATCCCTCGCTAGTATTTTCCATAGCTACGTCAAACGTTCGTTTTGACGTGCTTTGTCCTTCGTTGGACTTACATGGAAATACGTCTTCAAAGAATGATGCATTCCTTGACTCGATTATTGTGTTTTTATGTACATCCGGATTATTCGAATCGTACACTAAAAACCGATAAGCACTACTATTTTGTGCATATCCAATAAAAATACAATCCACCGTTTTTGGACCTATTTTTATTTTCTTAGG